AGCAACAAAAATGTTCCAGTCCCAATCAAGTGACAAACAAAAGATATTAAAGTCAACTTATCGATTTTTACTGAATTTTGGAAGAACCATTAAGACAGCGGTTCAATTCCCACTTGAGCACGAATGTCTGTTGTTGTTTTTAATGCTAGTTTTAAGGTTGAATTCATTAATGTCATGGTTTTGAATAACTTGAATTTTATTTACCTCTGGGCAAGTAAACCTCCCTACAAATGACCATGATGTAGAAAACACTTGCACAAATAGACATATATGTCACATGGATGTAAAATATACTTCCTAGGTTAAGATTTTTTTTGTGTGTGTAGATCGAGTCTCACTCTGTTGCCAGGCTGGAGCGCAGTGGTGTGATCTTGGCTCACGGGAACCTCTGCCTCAGAGTTTCAAGCGATTCTCCTGCCTCAGCCACCTGAGTAGCTGGGACTACAGGCATGCCCCACATGCCTGGCTAATTTTTGTATTTTTAGTAGAGACAGGGTTTCACCATGTTGGCCAGGATGGTCTCAATCTCTTCACATCATGATCCACCTACCGTCGTGATCCACCTATTAAAGTGCTGGCATTACAGGCGTGAGCCATGGCGCCCTGCCAAGATTTTTTCAGTTCGCATGAGAGAGAGGCGAACTGAAAGGAGGGAGAAAGGAGGGTGCTGAGCTCTTCTCAGTAACAGGAAAGCCATTTGAGTAGGAACCAGTGAATCAGGTGAAGAGTCAGATAAAATCAGGAAGGAGCCGGTTCAGCTGCAGCAGGTCAGAAGCAAAGTCATGGGGAGGTTGGGAGTGGTCTCAGTGCATTTGTGTTGCTACAAAGGAACACCTGAGGCTGGGTCATAAGTAAAGAAAAGAGGCTTATTGGGTTCACAGTTCTGCAGGCTGTACAAGAAGCATGGCACCAGCATCTGCTTCTGATGAGGGCCGCCGGGAGCTTCCACTCACAGAGGGCAAAGGAGAGCAGGCATCACAAAGGAAGAGAAAGAGCAAGAGAGACAGCAGAGGACCAGGTTCTTTAGACAACCAAGGTATCTATTTAAACTGGTGGAAGCAAAATATCATCAAAACTTCTGCCCAACAGTGACTATCACTGTTAAGTACTGAAATGGGTAAGGTTCCCTTGTCCCCCTGTACTACAGGAAGAGTGGCTGGCTTCTTCAGCACCCCGCTTCTCAAACGCCTAGGGGAGCATACAGATAGGCAGGCTCTGACCCCACAGTAGTGTCTAAGGGAGAATGTTTATAGCTCCTGAAGCCTCAGTGGGCGTGTGTTACAGGGTGCTCTTTTACATTGCAGTCTATAGGCAGCTACTGTTAGCTCCATTAGGCATTCCACCTTGTCACAAGGGCAGAGGAATGTCTGTATCCTGGTGTTTCTGGCCTTGGTTGACCTAAAGAATCAGATCACACGTGGGCTTAGAGAATGGGGAATGAGTAAAAAGGTTTTTTTGTTTTGTTTTGTTTTAGAGACAGGGTCTGGCCATGTTGCCCAGGCTGCAGGGCAGTGGCTATTCACAGGCACGACCCCACGACTGATCAGCATGGGAGTTTTGACCTGTTCCATTTGCAACCTGGACCGGTTCACCCCTCCTTAGGCAATCTAGTGGTCCCCCGCTCCCAGGAGGCCACCATATTGATGCCGAACTTAGTGCAGACACCTGATCGGCATAGCACAGTACAGTCCAGGACTCCTGGGCTCCAGCGATCCTCCCACCTCAGCCCCCCGAGTAGCTGGGGCTACAGGCACCCGCCACCATAGCTGGCAAAGGTTTTTTTGTTTTGAGACAGAGCCTCGCACTGTCGCCCAGCCTGGAGTGCAATGGCGCCATCTCAGCTCACTGCAACCTCCACCTCCCAGGTTAAGTCAATTCTCCCGCTGCACTCCTCCAAGTAGCTGAGATAATGCACACCACACAGCCGGCTAATTTTTTTGTAGTTTTATTAGAGACAGGTTTCACCACATTGGCCAGACTGGTCTCAAACTTCTCACATCCTGATCTGCTCGCCCTGGCCTCCCAAAGAGCTGTGATTATAGGCGTGAGCCACCACACCTGGCCCTAGTGCAAGATTTTACAGAGTAATTCACAGGAGATGGAGGAGCTACAGGGAAAGGGTTTAACTGGAATCTGGCCACTCGGCCCGGCTCTACTTAGAATGCCCTGGCAAACGCAATGTGGGTCTGCTGGTCAGTGGCCCGTCTGCAGGCCAGTGCTGGTACCGCTGGGTTTCTCTCAGGTTCCTCTGGCAGCCCGGCCTCCTGTGTGTTCCTCCTCCGCTGTGTTCCTCTCACATTCCTCTCGCAGCCTGGCCGCCTATCTGCTCCTTTTGATGTCCATGTGCTACTGTCTCTGCCTGGCCAGGGGCTCGGGTTTTTATAGACCCAGTTTGGGGGCGTGGTCTTGGAAAATGCAACATTTGAGCACCAGGGAAGAAGTGCCTGTCCTCACTTAGGTCTGTGGGGGTGGAGCCCTAGCCGGGACCACGCCCTTTCTGTACACAGGGCTTCCTTTCCCTGCTTCCCTGTCATTTAAAGGGACCACACTCTTCCCCTCCCAGCACTTTGTATCAATACCACTTAAAGCCAGCTTTGAAAATTAGTTGTTCGTTCCTAGAAAGGGTGAAGGACGCCAGCTCATAAGTATTCCTGTTGCAGAGATGTAAGATGTCGAGGCCAATCTGTTTCAGTGACCCTCAGATAGCCAGACAGCTATCAGAAAATTCTTCCTTTTTTTCTGTTAGTAGGAAAAACACTTCCATGAACACAACTCTCTTCTTATTAAGTGAGATGATAATTTGAATATGCTTGGTATCTTTTAAAACCATAGATTTATATACAGTATAGAAGAAAAGCAATTTAAGAAAACACTGGCTCTGAAACTCCAAAACCCTTAAGACCTTCTAGAAATACATGGAAGAAAAGAAAGGTGAGGTTGAATTTGTATTTCATATTTGTATATCAAATAATAAGTAAGCTTCCCCACTAAGGTCAGGTATATTGATAATCAGTGACATGTTTTGTGAGCTAGATCTTCTTACAGCCAAAATTTATTGAGTGCCTTCCAAGTATGAGACCCTGTACTAGGATGTTTTAAAGATTACACAATTCTTAAGATGTGGTATATAGTGATTAAATCTCATTCATAAAAGTGGAGTATTAGTTGTGCTTGAGCTCAGACGTAAAGGCGTGTACATATATGTGTATGCGGTTAGGTCTTCTTATCTGCAAATGTCCATGTTGGGAGAAAATGCCAGTGCCAGTCAAAGCCAACTGAATTGTTGTACATTGACACATACTGTGAAGAAAAGGGCAGAGCACCAGAAATGTTCCAGTCCCAATCAAGTGACAAACAAAATAAGCAAAATAGATTAAAGTCAACTGACCTATTTTTGCTGAATTTTGGAAGAACCTTCAAGACAGCGGCTCCAGTTCCCACTTGAACACGAATGTTCCTTGTTTTTAATGCTAGTTTTAAGACTGAATTCATTAATGTCATGGTTTTGAATAACTTGAATTTTATTTTCCTCTGGGCAAGTAAACCTCCCTACAAATGACCATGATGTAGAAAACACTTGCACAAATAGACATATGTGTCACATGGATGTAAAATACACTTCTTAGGTTAAGTTTTTTTTTTTTTGAGATTCAGTCGTGCTTTGTTACAAAGCTGGAGTGCAGTGGTGTGATGCTGGCTCATTGGAACCTCTGCCTCCCAGGTTCAAGTGATTCTCCTGCCTCAGCCACCTGAGTGGCTGGGACTACAGGCATGCCCCACCATGCCTGGCTAATTTTTGTATTTTTAGTAGAGACAGGGTTTCACCATGTTGGCCAGGATGGTCTCAATCTCTTCACCTAGCCATCCACCTGCCTCGGCCTCTCAAACTGCTGGGATTACAGGCGCGAGCCATCGTGCCCTGCCAGGATTTTTTTCAGCTCCAATGAGGGGGGGACTTTGGGGAGATAGGTGGGTGCTGAGCTCTTCTCAGTATCAGGGAAGCCATTTGAGTAGGAACCAGTGAATCAGGTGAAGAATCAGATAGAATCAGGAAGGAGCCAGTGCAGCTGCAGCAGGTCAGAAGCATAGTCATGGGGAGGTTGGGAGTTGCCTTAGTGCATTTGTGTTGCTATAAAGGAACACCTGAGGCAGGGTCATATATTAAGAAAAGAAGTTTATTGAGTTCACAGTTCTGCAGGCTGTACAAGAAGCATGGCACCAGCATCTGCTTCTGATGAGGGCCGCCGGGAGCTTCCACTCACAGAGGGCAAAGGAGAGCAGGCATCACAAAGGAAGAGAAAGAGCAAGAGAGACAGCAGAGGATCAGACTCTTTAGACAACCAAGGTATAGATCTATTTAAACAGGTGGCAGCAAAACATCATCAAAACTTCTGCCCAACAGTGACTATCACTGTTAAGTACTGAAATGGGTAAGGTTTCCTTGACGCCCTGTATGACAGGAGGAGGCTTGCTTCTTCAGCACCCCATTTCTCAAACCTCTAGGGGAGCATACAGACAGGCTGTGAGGCTCTGACCCCACAGTAGTGTCTAAGAGTGAATGTTTTCAGCTCCTGAAGCCCCAGTAGGCATGTGTTACAGGGTGCTCTTTTACTTTGCAGTCAATAGGCAGCTACTGTTAGCTCAATTAGATATTCTACCTTTTCACAAGGGCAGAGGAATAGTCTGTATCCTGGTGTTTCTGGTCTTGGTGGACCTAAAGAATCGGATCACACATAGGCATGAAGAATGGGGAATGAGTACAAAGGTATTTTTGTTTGTTTATTTTATTTATTTATTTATTTATTTTTGAGACAGGGTCTCACTATGATGCCCAGGCTGGAGTGCAGTGGCTTTTCATAGGCACGATCCCATGACGGATCAGCACTGGAGTTTTGATCTGCTCTGTTTCCAAGCTGGGACAATTCACCTCTCCTTAGGCAATCTGGTGGTTCCTCGCTGCTGGGAGGTCACCATATTGATGCTGAACTTAGTGCGGACACCTGATCGGCATAGGGCACTACAGCCCAGAACTCCTAGGCTCAAGCGATCCTCCCCACTCAGCCTCCCGAGTAGGTGGGACTACAGGCACGCACCACCACACCGAGCACAAAGTTTTTTGTTGTTGTTGAGAAAGAGCCTTGCATTGTTGGCCGGCCTGGAGTACAAGGGCACCATTTTGGTTTACTGCAACCTCCACCTCCCAGGGTTAGTTAATTCTCCCGAGTCGCTGAGATTACACACAACACATGCCCTGCTAATTTTTTTGTAGTTTTATTAGAGATGGGTTTCACCAAGTCTACCAGACTGGTCTCGAACTCTTCACGTCATGATCCGCTCGCCCTGGCCTCCCAAAGAGCTGGGATTACAGGCATGAGGCACCACTCCTGGCCCTAGTGCAAGATTTTACTCAGCAACTCAAGAGAGATGGGGGAGCTACAGGGAGACAGTTTAACTCTGTAGTCTGGGCACTTGGCCCGGCTCAAATCCGACTGCCCCGGCAAACTCCACGTAGTTCTGCTGGTCAGTGGCCTATCCGCAGGCCAGTGCTGGAATCGCTGGGTTTCGCTAGCAGCCCAGGCACCGGTGTGTTCCTCCTCAGCTGAGGTTCTCTCGTATTTCACTCCCAGTCCAGCTGCCTGTGTGTTCTTTCTCCTACTCTGCTACATACGTGCTTTCGAACATCCAAAGGCTTCTATCTCTACCTGGCCAAGGGCTTGGGTTTTTATAGGCCCAGGTTGGGGGCGTGGTCTTGGAAAATGAAACATTTGAGCACCAGGGAAGAAGTGCCTGTCCTCACTTAGGTCTGTGGGGGTGGAGCCCTAGCCGGGGCCACGCCCTTTCTCTACACAGGGCTTCCTTTCCCTGCTTCCCTGTCATTTAAAGGACCAGGCTCTTCCTTTCCCAGCACTTTGAATCAATACCACTTAAAGGCAGCTTTGAAAATTAGTTGTTTGTTCCTAGAAAGGGTGAAGGACGCCAGCTCATAAGTATTCCTGTTGCAGAGATGGAAGATGTCGATGCCAGTTACTCTGTTTCACTGACACTCAGATAGCCAGACGAATATCAGAAAATTCTTCCTTTTTTTCTGTTAGTAGAAAAAACACTTCCATGAACACAACTCTCTTCTTATAAAGTTAAGTGGGATGATTATTTGAATATGCTTAGTATCTTTTAAAACCATAGATTTATATACAGTATAGAAGAAAAGCAATTACAAAAATTAAAAAATATTAAAAAGAAGAAAAGCAATTTAAGAAAAGGCTGGCTGCGAAACTCCAAAACCCTTAAGACCTTCTCGAAATCCGTGGAAGAAAAGAAAGGTGAGGTTGAATTTGTATTTTATATTTGGAAATCAAATAATAAGGGTCCCCACTAAGGTTAGCTATATTGATAATCAGTGAGATGTTTTGTCAGCTAGATCTTCTTACAGCCAAAATTTATTGAGTGCCTTCCAAGTATGAGACCCTGTACTAGGATGTTTTAAAGATTACACAATTCTTACTTAAGATGTGGTATATAGTGATTAAATCTCATTCACAAAAGTGGGGTATTAGTTGTGCTTGAGCTCTGATGTAAAGGCGTGTACATATATGTGTATGCGGTTAGGTCTTCTTATCTGCAAATGTCCATGTTGGGAGAAAATGCCAGTGCCAGTCAAAGCCAACTGAATTGTTGTACATTGACACATACTGTGAAGAAAAGGGCAGAGCACCAGAAATGTTCCAGTCCCAATCAAGTGACAAACAAAATAAGCAAAATAGATTAAAGTCAACTGACCTATTTTTGCTGAATTTTGGAAGAACCATTAAGACAGCGACTCCAGTTCCCACTTGAACACGAATGTTCCTTGTTTTTAATGCTAGTTTTAAGACTGAATTCATTAATGTCATGGTTTTGAATAACTTGAATTTTATTTACCTCTGGGCAAGTAAACCTCCCTACAAATGACCATGATGTAGAAAACACTTGCACAAAAAGACATATGTGTCACATGGATGTAAAATACACTTATTAGGTTAAGATTTTTTTTTTTTTGAGGTCGAGTCTCACTCTGTTGCCAGGCTGCAGTGCAGTGGTGTGATCTTGGCTCACTGGAACCTCCGCCTCCCAGGTTCAAGCGATTCTCCTGCCTCAGCCACCTGAGTAGCTGAGACTACAGGCATGCACCCCCACACCTGGTTAATTTTTGTATTTTTAGTAGAGACAGGGTTTCACCATGTTGGCCAGGATGGTCTCAAATCTCTTCACCTCGACATCTGCCTGCCTTGGCCTCTCAAAGTGCTGGGATTACAGGTGTGATCCTCAGCACCCTGCCAAGGTTTTTTCAGATCGAATGAGAGGGAGGACTTTGGGAAGACAGGTGGGTGCTGAGCTCTTCTCGGTAACAGGAAAGCCATTAGAGCAGGAACCAGTGAATCAGGTAAAGAATTGGGTAGAGTCAGGAAGGAGCCAGTGCAGCTGGAGCCGATCAGAAGCATAGTTATGGGGAGGTTGGGAGTTGTCTCAGTGCATTTGTGTTGTTATAAAGGAACACCTGAGGCTGGGTCATATATAAAGAAAAGAGGCTTATTTGGTTCACAGTTCTGCAGGCTGTACAAAAAGCATGGCTGCCGGGAGCTTCCACTCACAGCAGAAGATGAAGGAGAGCAGGCATCACTTAGCAAGAGAAAGGGAGCAAGAGAGAAAAGGGAGAGGTACCAGGCCTTTTCCAACAACCAACTCTCAGGTGAGCTAATCGAGCAAAAACTCCTCCATTTCCACAGGTCGGTGCCAACTCATTTTTGAGGGATCCACCCCCGTGACCCAAACATGTCCCACGAGGCCCCACCTCCAATGAGGGATCAAATTTCAACATGAGATTTGGAGGAGACAAATAACCAAAGCAGTCAGGAGGTCTGGCAGAACTTCAAATGCCCAGAGTGAAATTTTGAGGTTGAAATTAATTGCCAAGGTAGTTCCTAGAAGCTTTTGAAATATGCTTGGGTTTAATTATTTCATTGAGTTGATGTCAATGCCTGAGATAGTAACAATGATGATTCGTGTGCTGTTGATGTTCTTCAGCCCTTCCCACAATGGAAAGTTCTTTGAAGCCCACACTCAGCTTGCAGGTGGAGAGGGTGGATGAAAAGAAAGTGGTCATGGACACAAGCATGATTCTGCCATTTTCTATGGCTCTGGATAGACTGGTCACCTGAGATATCTCCAAAATTTACTTAGAAAGATGTTTCTGTCTTAGAAGTTTTCAGTGTTAGGTCGAACGTTGGTGTGTAAGTTGTTTATGGCAGAGTCCCAGCTGTAGCCAGAATTCCCCTTCTTAAAATAACCATCAGGTAGGTGGCCCGGTCTTGGAGAACATTGTGTCAGAGCACGTATGGGATAAAATACTGCCTTCTTTCTTTTCTTCCATAGGTAGTACTATCTTTAGCTAGTAATAAGACCCCTTGAATTTTGGAATTCAGATATTGGAAAAAAGCTACTAGCTCAGTGCCTTTTACATATACATAGGTATTTAATACATGTCTGCTTATTGATTGGTAAATACTCCTAAAGATAAGTGCACGCTTGTGTGTGTGTAATGATTTTTAGAGATTATGGATTTAGGACAGTCTTTGTTCTATTTAAATCAATATGATCATCCATTTATCTTGCTCTTCTTATTTCTTATTGATTTTCTTTCTGTAATGTATGTACCAAAAGTATCTGCTGTTGCATATTCTTAAGAGAATGCAAACGTGAGCGTGTTTTCTTTCTCTCAGAAAAAAACAGCAATTCATTTTTCAGAAATCATTTAAATTAAAATCGATGTTCTTTGGACATGAAAATAAGAGTGTGGGGCAGCATGAATGTTTTCTCCTTGTGATCTGGCTGCTCACTGGCAGGAGGAGAAAGCCGGTCCTAGAGCGTGGGGTTGCTGGAAAGGCCACCTTTCCCTCCTGTCTTTCAACATGCCCTTTAAGAGCAGGAAACGTGAAAGAGTGGCCCAGACCCCAATTCCACTAAAAGCATTACCCAATTGGCACTGAGGTCTGTCTCTGGCCTTGCTGACTTCCCTGATGGCTCTAGCATTTGTTCCACAGCAGTGCCATTCACATCCCAAGAGATGCATGAAAACACAAAAATAATGTGTGGTGAGGAAACAAGTCCCCTAACTGGTTCTTCAACAATCCTTCTTTGTGTCAAACCCAGATTGCATTTACCCGGATGCAGCAACAATGTTAGGCCATGAAGAAAACAGCAAAGGAAGTGGGATTTCCAGAGGCTAGGAACAGAGGCCCTCTGAGCAAGAGAGGCACTCACAAAGTCAGTGAAGCTGTGGTGGTGACCTGTTTAGAGGTGAGGAACCAAAACAGACCCCAAGAGTGGCAGGGTTCATTTTGGAAATGTACGGCTTAAAGACCAAAGCTAAAATCTAGCATAGATAGTGAGGTGAACCAGAGAGCCCCGGAGCCTGGGAATCAGAACATCAGAATTCTAGTCTTAGTCTGTCTCCAAGTAGCTGTGAGTTCTTGGCCGAATACTTTATCCCCTCTGAGCCTCAATTTCCTCATCTCTGAAGTGCAGGGTTTGGATCAAATGACCTCTTAAGTGGCTTTCATTTTTTACAATTATATGCCTGAGAGAAGTTGTCATTGTAATTTGGCTCTGTAGGGGTCGTGTTTTTTAAAGCTTGATAACAAGGAAAATTTGTATGACAAAGTATACTTACCTGATTTAGATTTATTATTTCCTTTAATGTTTTCCCATTACCCCCTTGGTGAGGTTCATTAAATTTGTCATGTGCAATAGATCTAAGGATTCTTGTCCTGATATGATAAGACATCTATTGAGCATCTCAGGTTGGTTATCAGTCCATTCTTCATTGCCTGTGGGTGGCAACGCAGAACATGTGTTTATCATTCATCTGACCAAGGTCCTTGCATCAGATTTTCAAGAAAGTTATAGGAGCAGCCATAATCAGTGGTAAAGAAATTGTTCCACTGAAAAATAGATGGGCAATGAGACATCCTTTGGGTAGAACCAAGCAAAACTGCATTTTGGACCTTAGATTT